TATAAGATATTGATACAGAGAGTTAATCAATCAACCAATGGCTGTTTTATAAGATATTGATACAAAGAGTTATCAATCAACCAATGGCTATTTTATAAGATATTAATACAGAGAGTTAATCAATCAACCAATGGCTGTTTTATAAGATATTGATACAGAGAGTTAATCAATCAACCAATGGCTATTTTATAAGATATTGATACAGAGAGTTAATCAATCAACCAATGGCTGTTTTATAAGATATTGATACAGAGAGTTAATCAATCAACCAATGGCTATTTTATAAGATATTGATACAAAGAGTTAATCAATCAACCAATGGCTGTTTTATAAGATATTGATACAGAGAGTTAATCAATCAACCAATGGCTATTTTATAAGATATTGATACAGAGAGTTAATCAACCAACCAATGGCTGTTTTATAAGATATTGATACAGAGAGTTAATCAATCAACCAATGGCTATTTTATAAGATATTGATACAAAGAGTTATCAATCAAACAATGGCTATTTTTTAAGATAAATATAGGGATCATTGTAGTTGAACAATTTAATCAATTATTTGTCATTCTCTATTAAGTTCAAAAATTTCATGCATTAGGTGTTGGGGACTGAATCTGGCATCATTTTTGGTTGGGGGAAAGCAGGCTTATGACCTTTTGTGTGGTTAGGAGCAAAAAAAAAACCTGAAAGAGATGACAAAGACACTGTAGACTATGTGCAGCCAAGATATTCAACAAAGTATTTTTAAAGGCTTTGCTACTTGTTCACCATATATGCCAGCATTATCATCAGCATTTATGTTGTTATTTTGAACAAGTGGAAATATTTTTAAATTCCACTACACCTTGATTTGTAAAGCTTATAAAATGCACCAGAATATCGTTGTGACAATTTTTTGGCAAATCCAAGATGGTGATAGTTGAACCTGGTTTGACTCAAATTTTGTACTTCAGTTTTGCAATCTTAATGCACTACGGCATGTTATAAAATGACGATTTTCTACAAAAAGTCACTCAATCTGTATAATTCAAGGCCTTATGGGCCTGTCTAAAGTTTACATTAACTTTTATAATGTGAACAAAAGGGAAGGCTTCAGTATCTAAAAGTCACTCAATCTGTATATTTCAAGGCCTTATGGGCCTGTCTAAAGTTTACATTAACTTTTATAATGTGAACAAAAGGGAAGGCTCCAGTATCTAAGCTTTAAGACTAATATATTTTTAAAATGTGATGATACTGTATACTTATCACACAATTAACCTATTATTTGACTGTAAAATCTACATCCTATTGCACAAGACTAATGGATGTGTACTTTTTTTCTCGCTGTTTAAAACCGGGCCGAACATTGCTTGCAGCGAATACGGGACAGTACGACAGTGGGAGTGAGACAAGCAACGGCCTATGCTATTGTCACATGGTCGGTAAATTGGTAATCATGACCAGGTCAACTTCTACACAGGGTGGTATTTAATTGATGGGAAAATTAAAGTAAGAGAATATTTGAGTGTTGAAAAATAAAGACGCATCGTTGTGATTTTCAAATTTGAAAAGTGTAATTTCTTTTCTTTAATAATCATTCACTATCACTGCAGAAAAAAATACCATGCACAATTTGGAATTGCTACACAAAACAAAAAGTGAATAGAACTTTTTGCTACCAACAAAAAATGCTGGAAATAAAACATCGGCGGTATGTGTTTTCCTGATTTTACTGTCAAATTTTAAAATAAAAAATTTAAAGCTGAGAAAAGGGGGAGAATATGTAGCTATATTCTATATAGTAATTTTTGATTGAGATTATGTTTGCCAGAGTAATTTTCTTATAATCATCAAATATACATCTGAATAAATCTCATGCAAGTTAATCTAATAACAACTTTCTGTAAAATGAAATTTATATTGCTATTGCAAAAACACAAATCTACTCACACAGAAGTCCAAACTGCTTCATCAATTGCAAGAAGATCTCAAAGCAAGTTTCATCTTTGCTAATCTCATCTCTCCATAGATTTTGGCTAACTCTTCCTCCAGTACCTTCATCATCAAACCTATGCCACACCTTGATCACTGAAGGCCACTGAAATTAATGATAATTGAGATGTATATTATTTTAATCACCTTTTCATTGTCATTAGGTTGCACAACTGTGATGATTTTTTCAAGATGTCAATCAGCTTCCATGGGTTTGTTATCACTCTATGCTTTAGAAGTATGTGGTTTTCAAAGAACAGAATGATACCAAGATTGTGAAAGTAATTGAGGAGGTTGTGGATGCTGTTTTTTTTTTTTTTTTGGAAATTTTGCATTCATATGCAACTTTACAGACCTAATACAATAAACTACACTACAGAAATTTCAGTCAATAATAATAATCGTGTAAATCATGTCTATGAAAAATACTCTAATACATTTAATCAAAGTCGGTAAACATTTCTATACAAATATATAATAAAATCATACTTCATCGTAAGTCTTGCACACAATTTCCCTACCAATCTCCTGCAGTATTAGTTGAATTTTAGCCACTTGAGCGGTATCGTATCATGCATTGTTTTAAGAATCCACAAACAACTCGTTGAAGTTCCTTCACCATCTACAGTAGCTTTGTGATGCAAACTGGTTGTCGATCGCGTAAACTGTTCTCTTCACATATGACATTCATATGGAGTACCTTTGATTTCGTTGAAAATTTTTCTGAACTGTTCTTCAATCTGAATAATAAAAAATGAAATGATTAAGGGCTTAACCATATTTTATTGACTGACAGAGGTCAAAGTCACATTTTTTCTGTTGTCATCGGGCTTGAATCGTTTCAAGTTGATTGTTTTCATTTCATTAAAACATTTGCTAGTGATATTGTAACAGAAATTTCATGTTAAAAATAGAGAAACAGTAATTATTGTGTCGTTTACAACAGACACACTCAGCAAAAATAGTTCACCGATCTTTACAGTGTATTAACTCGAGCATTCGAAACAATAACAAATGGAGTACCGCATACAGATCAGATGACTGATTAGGAGCAAGAAGTGGATTGCAAATTCCATAATTAAAAAGGTTTTTAGTAGTCCTACAAGGTTTTAAACTAGCAAATTCAAAATATTCACAATATTCTTTTTGAAAAGAAGTCCCATTTTCAGTTTGAAAAGTAATCTTGAAAAGAAGCCCATCTCTAAAACCATACCACCTTCAAAAGAAGCCCATTCTAGGGTTCTAAAAAAAGAAGTAGCCCATGGGCTTCTATTCGAGAATTACGGTATGTGTGATAATGCACTAAATATGACTTACATATAAATTTATTATTTATTACAAAATTATCTCTATGCACTAAGACACCACAGCCCAAGTGCACCAAAAAAAGGAAGAACTAAAAACAAAAACCAGATGAAAAGGAACCAAGTTCAGAATTAATATAAAGAAAAAAAGATGTGATTTGAGCCACCAAGATTTGAAGCCAGTCAAAGATGGAGACTCACACAGTCTCAAGAGATTCGTTCCAAAGCTTCGGCGCAGCAACAATAAAAGAATGATTGCCACAAGTATAAAGGTGACCAGTAGTTAAGAATGGTAGATGATGAAGATGAGGTAGACCTAACCAGGTGCAAACAGCAGAATAGTGAAATTAGATTGGAGATGTAGTGGGGAATGATTTATGGAGTAACTTATATACAAATAACAAGTTAATTCTCAGATGAATGGGTAACCAATTGGAAGATGTACAGTAGGGAACACTCAGAAGTAAGAGCAATGAGTCTGGCAGCTACATTTAAACTTTTATATAGCAGTTTTCCTCCCAGCTATTGACTATATACAAATGCTTATAATTACAATATAGATAATTGAATGCATACATAAAAAGCTGGAGTAGAGTTGAATAACTTGGTGGTTAAGATGCTTGCCTTCTAATCCCAGGGTCCTGGATGACAACTTTTAAATCTGTCCCTTGGTATTTTTTACATAATATCTGCACATGTGTCAATGGCAAAATCAGCCTATTTCAACAGCCTTTGTGAAAACATCATCTGCACTAAGTGATGTGCTCTGACTAGACAGTAAATTTGAGAAAGTAGAAATAAGTGTCAGAATCTAATATAATTAACAAAATTAATCAAGATAAAAAGAATAAAATCAAGAAAGAAAACAGAGTCAGTATGTAGCATGGCCCTAGGCATGTTTGATCATATTTCGCAATTGTACGCCATGACCAGATGCATCAATATTATTTTTATCAGTTCTCCAAGGATCGTAATCTTAATGGTACATTAATTCCTAGGCCTTGGAAGTATAAAATTTAGTTTGCCTAGGCTGGCTACCTGCGTTGCCTACCTATAGCTGCGCACGGCTACGATTGTTTACTCAGATTACTTTTCTAGACTATGCAGATGGATCTCCATCTCGCCCTAGTCTAGTGTAAATTCCAAACCCAACTATGCATTACTGGAGTAAGAGCCATGTGCATGAAGTACAGTGTTGTGGGCGACTTAGAACCGTCCATTTTCTAGCACTGGGTATAAATATGTTTTTAACATGAATAATACGTGTGTTGTAAGTGAAATTTTTACCCGGTAGACAATGGTTTAGCATTACATTTTTGGGAATTCCCACCAAATGTTGGTATGAAATCAACGCAAATTCATTTAATATATATTATTATTGTTTTATCAAATGTAAATATAATTTGGCTTTAGTTTATTGCAACATTTTATACACGTACATTAGGCATATAAAGAATTTGCTAAAGGTAGACCAAGCCCAACTACGCTAGGCCTAGCTGAATAGACCAAGCCGTCCAAGCCACCACAGCAAAAGTGGCCGTCATAAATAATTGTTGGCCGCCCAAAAGATGGCCGGACAGATCGTTGGTAATCCCTTGCTTCAGGTCAAAGGCTACAAAATAACAACAGTTTAAGAGTTACAATTTAGATGCGTATAATAATATTGCAAGTTTGCAAGTTGGCACCAGCCCACATACAAGGTCTGTTTTTTTTTTTGTTAATAAGCAACTCTTAGTCGTAACATACCCTCATAGTCCTGACACTGTGGCTTTAGATTTTGAGGCACTGGATGATCATAATTGCTTCTATTGTTTCCTCGTTGTGCTCCCTGTTGCGTCCTCTTCCACGAAAGCCTCCTCTACTTTGTGGTCTGTTATTACCGGATTTGCTTCCCAGACATGTGCTGATGCCATTTGCCATGTTACTGAGATGGTCCATGTGCTGGTTGTTTGCCGATTGGTCTTTGTTTCTGTAATCGTGTCGACCTCTTCCTGAAAAATATTTAATTCAATTGTTAAATGCTGCCACTATACTACATGTAAACCACCTAATAGATGAAATTCAACGCACTTTTAGTAAAATGCCTGCCCTCTAAATGGGCATCCCAGCATCCTTGTGCCGAATTAGTATGGGTGTGGTCAGTAGTAAAGTATGTAGGAAGGTGGAGAATAACCTATAACTCCCAGCATCCTTCTTGTGCTGAATTAGTATGGGTGTGGTCAATAGTAAAGTATGTAGGAAGGTGGAGGATAACCTATAACTCCCAGCATCCTTGTGCTGAATTAGTATGGGTGTGGTCAATAGTAAAGTATGTAGGAAGGTGGAGGATAACCTATAACTCCCAGCATCCTTAGGATCGGGGTAACCCCCTACTCCTCCGAAAGATGCAATAAATCTTTTAAAGTGGACACAAGCTAGATGTGTACACTGTACCTTCATTTCAAGTTCTTAACTGAGAAGACTTAGTTCTAATAGATAAACCATGGGCGAGGAGTGGCTCAAATTAACGCCAATGTTAAAGCTGTAGCTAGTAGTGCCTAACCTTACTAATCAGCCACCGACTCTTATTGTGGCATGATTGACTGGTAAGGCTAAGCTTTACCGCTAGTAATCCTTCAGTATAGTGAGTGTGAACTCACACCAAAATGCTTTGCAATGACAACTTTCAGTGGTACATTCTAACAATAGTGTGACTATTGTTAGTTTGTTAGACTATGTCTAAATAAATGGTGACATCATATTCTGAACATGTATAGGTACATAATGACTATATATGGGCATACAACAGTTTTTTATCAAATAGAATTTGATAAGCTGGACAGATATGCATGCATCGTTATGACAACAAGAAATATATAAATCTTAATTAATATTCTTTATTAAAACTACTGCAGAATTGTAAGATTTGGAAGTCTGTAACTACAATAGGTAAGTTGTAATTTATCAATAATTCTAATCAAATTGAAAGTAGTTGCTACTTTTATGATTGTTTTGTTTATGATTTCTACATTCAATAGTTTAGGATTTATTGATAAGACCAGGTATGAATGGTTATGAACAAAAGAACCAAACAAAAATAAACATTATCTTAATTAATATTCTAAATTAAAACTATTGTTGAAATGTAAGACTTAAAGTTTTTAACTACAGTAGGCAGGTGTTAATTTATTAATAATATTTTTGTTTATGATTCCTACTTTCAATTACAGGAAGAAAGATGCTTATTAATTATTCAAGAGAGCAATGGAAGCTTTTAGCAGAAACAAATATAAAATGCTGTGATAAGGTTTGAACAGAACCCTGGTATTGGAAGGCAAGCATGATAATCAGCAATTATTCAGCTCTATTCCAATTCACAGCCTTGCTCAAAGGCTCAACTGAAGTGAACAAGGCTTGTGGTTCATATAAAGTTTAATTATATTAAAATGATATTTGATGATTTAACATTACCTTGCACTTGTGCTCCGGGTACTTCTGGACCTCTGGTAGTCTTGATCGTCTTCATCAATAACCTTAGAAGGAACAAGGTCATAAATAAACATCAACAAACACATGCATACATATATGGACAAGTAAAACAAATGGTTTATATCAATAAAAGCATGGTCTGTCTCCAAATGTTTTAACCCAGAGAGTCCTCCAACTATATAATGCTGAATTTCATCTATTTTAATAGAATCTTTTGAAGCCAAGCTTCAATATAAGAGCTTTAGATTTTGTGCAACATCATCATCTGTACGAGATAGTTATGGGCCATTCTGCATCCTATAGTCAACACAAACTTAATGTTCTCAGATGTGCATATGATTTCTTAGTGACACCCTTACACCCTACCGTCAATGTACAATGTGCAACTGTAACGAGGTGTCAAGTGGTTCACTCTCTCTTTTAACCCTACTAACTGCTACTATATCTAATATGCTTAACAAATAAATATAAATAATTATGTATCATTGACATTTTGCATTTAATTTCTTGCATAATTATTTAATTTCATATAAAATACAAATGTTCACAAAAGAAAGAAAACAAGAAAAAGTTTGCACTTAATATGTTGCTTGTATTTCTTTGCTTGGGGTATGAAATATATTTTCTTCTTAGATATGGGCCTCCAGCCACTTTTTTTATTGAAAGCAGCTCAGTTATCCTTTTTTTTTAAATTTCCCTCACATCCAACAGCAAGTACACTCCCCACTTACAGGATAAGAATAATGCTTTATAAACTAAGCCTCTTTACGAGGCTTTAGGAAGTGGAGTTGTTTTCAGTCGTGAGTAAAATTCCTGCTGTTACAGGAATTGAACTCACAATCCTGGGATCAGGAGGCAAGCATCTCAACCACTGATGTATTCAACTCCACCACTGTTGAATTCTATCAGCTTCTCTCCTTGTGTTTCATCTGGAATGTAGGATTTACTTACTTGTTTGTAAAAACACTTCCAGTTGATCAGTGCATAGTTTTCTAAGGTGTTCCTCTGGTTTTGTCTTTCTTAGCAAATGCTACCACATACTTAGACAATGGAGCTGGATCTGCATTGACATCACATCTTAATAAAAAAAAAACACACATAATAAATTAATAATTGGTAAAATATAAGCTTTTGATACACCATATGTTGCAGAGGAACATCATGTTAAAAGCATCAATTGATGGTATTTGATTCTGAGAAAAAATGGTTGATTTGTAACATCCCAATATTTCGGTTAGTTAAAAAAAACACCCAATAATAATTATGGTTATATGCTTTCGGTTCACTATGTGGCACGCTACAAATCGAGTTGATCTGTGGCCGATTTGAATTGTTGCCGAGTTGACTTGTGGCCGAGTTGACTGTGGCCTAGTTTATTGTGGCCGAGTTGACTTGTGGCCTATTTGACGTGTGGCCGAGTTGACTTGTGGCCGAGTTGGATCGAAATAGGCCAGTACTAATAGTATTGTAATAATATGCCTTGGGCCTAGCTTAGGTAGTATACGCTAGACATAAGATACAAGTGTTTAAAATAATTAAGGGTTTTGACTCTATTTCAAGAGGTGTTTTTTCGAATTTGACCTGGAATCACGAACAAGGGGTCATCAATACAAGATGAAATTTAGTTGTTCTAGGATTAATGTTAGGGGGAATACGTTTTCTAGAAGGGTGGCCTTGCTTTGGAATGCACTTCCTAGTGAAGCAGTATCATGTTCAACTATTAATACTTTCAAATCAAGGCTCAATGCTCCAACCATCCACTGAAGTTTGCACCATATGCTAATAGTGACTTTATTTACAAGAGGGGCTTTTAAGCACTGAGTGCTTTGCCTCGGTCCCATAGTAGTTAAGATGATCCCCAAGTCATTCACCAACCGCTACAGGATAGCATGTTACTCTCTCTCTCTCTCAATAGAAGATCGTTTGATCGTTCAATCTGGTTAATTTAGGTAGTTAGAACATTTAATACCTTATATTCATATTATTCTCTCATAACAATATTTTTAAAAATTTTCAACTTTTAATAATTAAGTACTTCAATGCTATAGGTAGGCTAGGCTAGCCTAGGCCCTAGGTTTTGTCTAAGCCCTAGGTAGCCTAGCCTAGCCTAAGCAAGATTTATTGCCACTGGGGGTGAGTGACATGAGACCTAAAGATTTTACAGATGCATTGGTTTGATTGATTTCTGGGCCCTTTTTTAAATATTAGAAAGCCAAAATTATAACCAGGGAGATGTAATACATGCTCATCTGTCCCTGTTATAACCAGAGTCGATTTTGCAACATGGGGGATTTTTTTTATTCATTTATTCAACAATATTTTGAGAGGGTAGCTCAAACAGCAATTCTACAGAAATTCAGAAATTGCAAATCAACCTTCAAATTTCATTGTCGCTAATAAATATTTTGAAACAAATTTTTTTCTATTCTGCGGGCTAGGCCTAGGGCCTAGTAGGCTAGTAAAATTTCTAGTAAACTAGCCCAGTGGGCTAGTTACCAAAAAAAGTTAGGGCAAGCCCTGATCTAGACCTACATTTTAACCAGGTTTAATATAGGCTTACAGCTCAATGGGCAATCTTTAGCCCAGAATAGCTAGCCTAGCCTACCTTCACCTTAGGCTTAGCCCTTAGTAGTAAGAGGAGTACAGTAGGCGCGCCTGCCAGGGGCTTGTGGCCTACAGTCGGTAGTGTAAGGCCTAGCCTAGGTTAGGCCTAATTACAAACCACGAGGGTTGATTTTTCAGTTGGTTTTGTACAGATGGATAAAAGAAATAAAAATATAATATAAGAAAATCTTTACTCACGAATATATATTTTATTATTTATTAACGTATTTGCTAGCCGACTGTTTATCATTATGTGAAAATGCATGCGATGTGATCACGATGATCGACCGTCGGTGGCAGCAAACATTTACTTGATGTATCTTCTCCCCGACTTTTAGGCCAATCATATGTACGTTTCATGTTTCTCGTCAACACTTTTTACAAATACAATGAGGTGCAGAAATTTTTAATTTTTTTTATTACATTTATTACAATAAAAGTAGTTGTTTTTATCTTGGTTATATGTTGGTATTTATAGAGCAAAATGAACGATATCTCACAACAGGATTCATATTCCGTATGAAATTAAATGTGATTACAAATAGGCCTAAAAGATATCATTACCATGCCTATACCAGGCAAATATAAACATCTCCCTGCCCATACATCAGTTCTTATTATAGTTGTGTTTTTAATGTCTTATTTTAATGTGTTAATTATTTTACATAGACATTATTGTTGTTAATTGTTTTATGTTCATTTTATGCGGTGAAATTGTTTGTCTAAGGGGCCACAATGGAAATAAGTTTTTTTAATACTTTCTTGGGTTACCAGATGTTCATAATCATTTACTTGTTGTTTGTTTTTGTTTGTATTAAGAAATTTGTGATTTTAATTCTTGAATAAAATGAAATGAAATGAAAAATTTGAAAAATAATTGTTTGCAATTATATGTTTTCCTAATGATTTCTGTTCTATTTATAAGTCGATCTATTGTTTGCAAAAATAATAACGATATTAAACTGTTAGCTACCAGAATGTTCACGAAGAAGGCGCGACGCCCGACCACGCCAATTGTGCTCTTGCTGGGGACATGCTCTCCACGCCCGGGACAATGGACTGCCCGTCTCCCTAAAAAGGCTATATGAAAAATGAAAAAAGGTGTTTAAATATAGGCCTTTATTATATAAAAATATATAAATATCAATTAAATATATATAATACTTATATAGGCCTATTTATATATTTTAATATATTAAAATTCTTTTTTCAATTGCTTTATTAGTCAATTTTGCCTAATCCGTTTAACGATATGTTAATATGCTGAAATACAATTGATTTTTTTTTCATTTCATTTAACTTGTCTCAATTGAACACACAAAACAGTTTCAAACTCAGGAAGACAGGATATTAACCAAAAGTATACTAAAATACTGTCAAGTGGCTTTCCAAACACGAACGAATGAGAGCGGTTAATGAGATAAATCAAGAAAAGTTTTCAGTTGGTATTTTTATTGGATTTCGAGAAGCATTCGATAGTCTTGATCACAAATTTTTATGACCTGAGTCATTATGGTAATTAGATGTAAAGCTATGACCTGGGTCATTATGGTAATTAGATGTAAAGCTATAATTTGGATTTCTAATTACAGTAGGCCTACCTTATGATTAGAACGCAATTTGCCTCTTTAAATCATTGTGTAGCTGATGAGTTATCTATTATTTGTGGAGTAAACGGTACCCCAATGCTCAGTGATTGAACCCACATTATTTTAAATTTATATAAAAATGGTCTGCTAAATTCTTACAACTTTTTCGATTTTCGTTTATTTTCCGATGTCCCAAATTTATTTCACAGCTTCCCAAATATGTACTTGAATTTGACTTGCTGATCAGTTTTCATTGTTATTAATTGGTGTAAAGTAAATAAATTGACAATCAATATTGACAAAACAAATTATGTCATCAATCAAGATATAAACAAATCACAACAATTGGATCTTTATTTATTGATAACTTGACAACTTCATGAGCATTCCTATATTGATTTCGTTGGTATTATTATTATTATTATTATTATTATTATTATTATTATTATTATTATCACATTATTAAGAAGACACAACAATAATTGTTACTTAACCAATATCCTGAGGCGCGTGGAACGGAGAGAGTAGAGAAAACAGTAGAACTTATACATACTGTTTGTGGTGCTGAACTAATAATAATAATTCATCATAATTATTATTATTATTATTAGTATTATTATTATTATTATTATTATTATTATTTTATATATATATATATTTTTTTTTTGTTGATATCTTGGTAAATTAGGCCTGATGTTACCATCAATGAGAGGTGGCCACAATATTCATTTATTTAATTGATAAGCCATGAAATACTCGCACCTGGGTAGTGGCTATCGGCACTGCCGCAGTGCCGATTTTGGCACTGCCGCAGTGCCAAAAAAGCTGCTGTTTTCTATCGGCACTGCCGCAGTGCCAAAAAG